GACCGAGTCAGAGATCGAGTCCAAGACCGACTCTGAGACCAAGTTCGAGATAGAGTCCGGGATCGAGCCGAGGCCAAATCGGAGACTGAGATCGAGACTGAGTTCGAGACGGAGTCCGAGATCCAAATCGGGTCCGAGACCGAGTCCGAGGTCAAGTCCGAAGTTGAGTCCGAGATTGGGTCCGAGATCGAGTCCGAGATCAAGTCCGAGACCGAATCCGAAGTCGGGTCCGAGATCGAGTCCGAGATCGAATCTGAGACTAAGTCCAAATACTAATACGGGTCAAGGGGTGAAAGCCCAAAGCGTGCGTCTCCCAAGGGGGGGGGAGGGGGAGGGGGCTGCAGGGCGTTCCAAAAGTATAGTAGGGATAATGAGGTCCAGGAACCAGTCTTGAAGGAACTTTCCAGAGGTGCTTCCAAACTGACTTGAGGTTGGACTGGGGCCGAGGGGCCTTAGGTGGGAGTGAGCATGGGCTTGGGTGGTGCTGGAGGGGCCACCTAGGTAAGTGCTCAAGAGTAGCTCCCACTCCCAAAAGTGAAACCGACTGCGGTGCTCCCGGCTCATGTGGAGTGGTGCCCCACTTGAGTACCTTGTGGCTCATTGGTCCTCGCCCTTCCTAGGGGCTTGGGCCTTCCCTTCGGGATGGAAGTGGGGGGGTAGAGGTACCCATACCGGGCCATTAGGCCACGTGTTTCGCCCTGATGTCCCAAAGCAAGTGTTGCACCCAAGGCTTGGGATTTAGAGGGTCCCATGATCAAGTCTTATTGTACCAAGGGGTGTTAGGAACCTGGAGGCTTGGTGTGCTTGGCTGCTTGTGCCTACGGGGAGTGTAGCCAAACCTTAAGTCCAGTCTAACACGGGGAGGGGGATTAGGAGAGATTTGGGAATCCGTGGATGGATGGCTAACGCTCTGTTGCTCGTATAGTGAGTAGCTGAAACCAAGTAGGACCAAGTAGGAGCTGGTACAATAGGTGGGAACCTTGGTGAGGGAACTTAGCACAAGCCAAGGCAGTGTTGGTTGGATAGACGAGGTAAGTTGGTAAATTGGAAAGGAAAAATTTGTGGCTTACACTACGCGACATTGGTTTAAAGCTGAAGTGGTTGAAGTGCGTGTTTGGGTTTAAGGACACAACTTATCTCTGGTACTGTATTTCTCGTGAGGGTTTGCAAGTTGATCCTAACAAACTTGTGGCTATTCTAAAATTCCCTACTCTAAAGTGTATGAATGATGTGCAGCACTTTTTGGGCAAAGTGTAGTATCTCGGTCGTTTTGTGAATCATCTTTCTGATCGCACTACACTGTTGCGAGCATTGTTGAAGTCATCAAAGTCATCTTCATTTGGTCTTTGGATTGTGAGTGGGCGTTCATGGATCTCAAAGAGCTATTGACAACTCCTCCGATTTTGGCATATCTTGACTACACTTAACCTTTTATTTTGTGTGTAGATGCTTCTAATATTGGTCTTGGGGTTGTGTTGATGCAAGAGAGCTCGAGTGTGCTTGGTCAGCATCATCCTATTGCATATATCAACCGTACATTACAACCAGTGGAGATGAACTACTCCACGATAGAGAAAGAGTGTTTAGCAGCAGTCTGGGGTTTCGAGAAACTTCATGCATATCTACATGCTTCTCGGACGTTACTTGAAGGTGACTATGCTGTTATTACTTCATTATTGAAGCGGAAGAACCTAGTTGGTCATACTACTCGATGGGCTTTGAAGCTTCAGATATATGATTTTGATGTTGTTCATCACCCAAGGAGTTCTATGGATAATGCTGATGCCCTTTCTTGAGCTCCTCTTCCTTCTCCACTCTCTTTTCATGTTTCTGATGAGCGTGTTACTCCTGCATCTGTGGATTTTCTAGACAAGGATTCTGTGCCCTCAGCAGTTGCTGTACTTGATGTTTAGTGTCCACAAGGCATAGAGCAAGATCTACCTTCTCTTGATGAGGTTCGCGAGGCTCAAAAGATTAAGCCGTGGATTCGAAGGCTTCGAGATGGGTTTGAGAATCCTGCATCACTTGCTGATGACTTACCTTTCCGGCATTTACATTCTTAATATCGCCTTGACGACAGCCTTCTTTATTTTGTAGGGATGGATCTTGATGATCATTTACGGCTAGTGGTGCTTTCTGTCTTTATTCCACGGTTTCTCCATGCCTACCATGATTCTCCTGTTCTAGGTGGGCATATGGGACATCGTCATATAATCAAGAAGCTACGCAGGTCTTTGTATTGGCCGGAGATGCGACGTGATATTATTCGGTATGTGCGTAGCTGCATTTGGTGCCAAGCTCATAATACTCCCCCTCGGGTTGCGGAAGGACAGTTGTCGTCAATTGCAGTTTCCCGTCCATTTGAGTTGGTGGCATTTGATCTTATGGGATCTTTTCCACGGTTGACTGCTGGCAATGAGTATGTTATTATTGCTTCTGACTACTTGACTCGTTGGGTGGAAGTTGGTGCTCTTTCTAGTGCCTCTGCAACTGCTATTGGATACTTCCTCCTCAATCGAGTGGTATTCCAGCATTCTTATCTAGAGCGGATTCTTTCGGATAATGGTCCCGCATTTATGGTTGAGGCATTTCATATTTTGACATCTTGGTTGGGGATTTGCCACACTTTCACAAGTGCTTATCGTCCACAATCAGACGGTCTGGTGGAACGGCTCATTTGGACGTTCAAGGGGATGATTGCGAAGTATGTGAACTTTCAGCATTCTGATTGGGATAGTTATTTGCCGTCTCTTCAGTATGCATATATCACTAGGGTGCAGAGTTCTGTTGGTGCTTCACCATATAAACTCCTATATGGTCATGATCCAATATTACCAACGGAGCTGGGTTTACCTTCGCGATTGCCACGAGTTGTGGATGCTAGGTCATGGGATCAATATTTGACAAGCATTCTTCCACTTGTCCGAGCCAAGTCTGTCAAACACTTAGGCCGCGTACAAGTGGGACAACAACGGCGTTACAACTCCCATCATCGTCCACCTGCAAAGTACAAAGTGGATGATTTGGTGTTAGTCCATTTTCCCCATCTTACGGTATGTGGTTTATCTAAGAGGCTCCTTGCACAGTGGAAAGGACCGTATCGAGTGTTGCGGCAAGTTAGACCACAAGTTTATGAGGTTCGGCATGATGTCCAGCAGGCCAATCCTCTAGAGATTGTGCATGTGCAGCAGTTGAAACACTTTATAAAAAGGGATCAGGAGAAGTTAATCCCATTTACAGATCTGTTGATGCCTCCTCTTGATGTTCCTTCAGATCCCGGCCTATCTACAAGAGAACCCTGATGGTCTTCCATTATTCCGAGAGGAGGGGATGATGTGAGGGCCAAGTGTATGGCTATGATGCCGTATACTAATATTAGCATAGTGGGATTTTGGTAGCCGTCGGATTGGTTTCAATCCGGACCACTCGCTCCTGTATATAAGCTAGGGTTTTTGGGCTAATTGATATGCACATTTCTGTATTCCCTTTCTATATTCCATGCACTCACAATGTGAGGCAATCAATAATTCTAGGTAATGAAAATGATTTGGAGTGATATTCACTTCTCCTTGTACATACTACAAGATGCAGTTCAAAAGAAAAAGAAAGGTGAGATTTTAAGTTGTCCAATGCACCCATGTAATTGGTTTTCTCTACTATTCTTGTACAAACAACTCTTCTGGATCACATCAAAATTTCACTCTAGAAATCGCTAATGTATTTTGTGAGAGATACATGAAAACTAGATGATTATGGTTTTTTATTTGCATATATGTGTTTAGATATGATTCTTTCAAAGCATATAATAAGAGATCAAGGTGATAAGTAAGTAGCCAAGTTTTCTTGCATTTTAACTATGAAACTAGAACTAAATCTAGTTATCAACAGAATTACATAGGTTAGAAACTTTCAACACTAAAAAGATGTTTGGCATTATGTACTGCACCCAGAATAAGCACCTGGATAACACTAATTAGACTTCCTCTGGGCAACTTGTGAATGCAACTATGCAGGTGTGCTTCTACCATGGAGTGTGTATATACTGTTTAAATAGCTCTACTTATTTTTTGAAAGGTCTAATCAATAGTAAATAAAACTTATCAATTTGTTTCATATGTAAAGTTTTAATTTTCTGTTTCAAAGTAACAAAAAGTACTGCCAAAATTATTGGTTAAAGTTAGAAAAGAAATGCCTCTTCCAACAACACACAAATATAGAAAATAAAAAAATAAATTTAGAAGTTCACTCTAGGTTTGAAAAAAGTGTTATCAGTTTATCAAATTATTAGTTTTACCTTATATTTTTTGACTAAATGTGCAGGAGATTTATTATATAAGGTTGTTTTCTTACACTCATATTACCAAGTACTAAGTATGGAAAACAAATCATTTCTCTACTTAATTTTATTGCTTGTAGTCATTCTGAAAAATGAGAACTTTTGTAATGCCACTACAAGTATCAAAGTGGAAGGTTATGTTTATTGTACTAATTGTGGTTCACTTTCTCAAACTGGCATTTTGGGTAACAGAAATTCATCCCATCTTTTGAATTCTTTTTAATCTTGTTAAATCTTTTAGGTGCCAGGGTAAATCTGGTTTGTCTAGGAGACAGTGATTCAACATTTACAAATAATAAAGGGTTCTTTGATATCTCTGAATCAGTGAAAACTGGAACAGATATTGGGAATTGCCGAGTGAGTGTGGATGTAAGTAGAACACCCATATCACCCCGGGGGTGTTCTTTCTTAACAGACATAAATGGTGGGTCAAGTGGCCAATCCTTAAGCACATGCATCAATAATGGAAACAACAAATTCACTTGTGGACCATATTATTTTACTCCAAATGTTTGTCCCCCTCCACCACCACCAAAAACACCTCCACCTCCACCACCTAAAACACCGCCCCCACCACCACCAAGAACACCTCCTTCTCCACCACCTGATGCGATCTTGCTAGAGGCAAGGAGGCAAAAGAAGGATTGGAATCACTACTAGGATTGGGCTCAGCAATACGAGACGTTGCTCGAAGACGATGTCTTTGCAACAGTGATACAAGTAAGTATCACAAACAACAGTGACACAAACTCTCAGCTAAAGTTGTCTTTTTTGGTTTCCTCTCCCTAGGCATTGCATTACAAGCTTCACAACGATCCATGGCGAGCAAAGCTCCCGAAAAGAGAGTGGGGAATCCCACCAAGTTGCGGTATCAATCACGCATGACAAACTTTTTTTGTTCTCTCAGAGAAGACCCAAAGAAGGAATTTTTACATGACACGTTTTTAGGGCTTCTATGTTCTTCGATCTTAATGTTTATGGTGATGGCAGGCAGCTGGGATACACCGGCGTCGAAATTCCTCACATTGTCAAGGCCGTGATGCGCGAGGAGTGCCGACTCGCAGCATTGCCTGAGTCTCCAACAAGATCCCATTCTGGCAGTACTCGAGAATCAGAGTCGTGGTCGTGGATCAAGTGTGAGCTGGCAGCTCTCAATCCTTCCAATCCCGTGATTCAATTTTATGATGTGGTTGCTGTCCAGCTGATGAACCAGCAAGCGTTTGCTCAAGCTTGCACAACCATGGAGGTAAGAACGAGAATTTTCGATCTCTCTTCTATTGCTTTCTCTCTTGGTTGATGTGATAAGCTTGAAGAAGTTGTCTTTGAGGATCAAATCTTCTCCCTTGACATATAGCCTTTCTTAGTCAATCTATACCTGGAATATTCAATTATACTCTAATTCGTTTGTAATCAAGGTTTAATGCTATGTATCACAGATAAAAACAATCTACAATGACTTAAGATCCACTCAATTGCAGTAACAAATTCCTTGAATCCAAGAAAATTTTGCCACTTAGAATCAACCCAGTCTTGAGAAGAGGAATTATGCCCTCTTGAGAAGAAGAACAGATAGGAATTATGACCAAAATCATTCCATACCTGCTTGAGATCTGTCTGGGGACACCAAGAATTTCACTACATCGGTGCTGGTGATACACACATCCCCATCTGTGGCGAGAATATATTGCTAGCAAAGCAAACACTATTGCCACCACCACTATTCCTAGCATTACCGCCACCACCACCGCCAACAGCACCATTGCCTCCTCACCAGCATCAACATCAACTTTGTGCAATGCTTTCTCAAATTCGCCCCACTCCAGGCTAGGTATTAGGGGATGATATTCTTTATTGGCATGCTCGTGAACAAGAGGGCTGAGAGTTGCGTAGTTAGGGATTTTTATGAGGAGGAGCTCGGGAACTGCCACCAAAGAGAACTATCAGTGAAGTACTTTTTGATTTTATTGGATTCTGGTCAAGGCACCAAAATGCTTTGGAAAATCAGTCATCTAATATCTAAAACTTTAGAACAGTATCACAAAATCTCTAAACTCCACATTGCATGGCATTCTCTAGCCCCTAAACAACTGATCGCTAGCTTGACAAGATCATGAGGTGGTGCTCTTGCAAAAAATGTAGCTCCTCCTCATAACCCCTAGAGCAACCCATTCATGGTTTGGAGGCCTGGGTGCCAACTCACACATATCACTATCCTCTTGTCCACACAAAGCTAGTAATTACACTGTAAAATCTAGTTGGTGAGGAGCACTCTAGCAAGTTTTGATCTGAAAAGAGCTGGCAAAGAGTTGAGGTGTATCTTGCTTTTGATTTTAAAATACATTTATCTTAATATTACTCAAACCCAAAAAAGTTTAATGCCAGGAAAGGGAATACAGAAAATATGCATATCAATTAACCTAAAAACCCTAGCTTATATATAAGAGCAAGTGGCCTGGATTGAAACCAATCTGACAACTACCAAAATCCCACTATGATAATATTAATATACGGCATCGTAGCCGTACACTTGGCCCTCACATCATCCCCTCTTGGAATAATGGAAGACCATTAGGGTTCTCTTGTAGATGGGCCGGGATTTGGAGGAATGTCAGGAGGATGCATCGGGGCATTAATTGCTCCTGATCCCTTTGTATGAAGCGTTTCAACCATTGCACATGCACAATCTTTGGAGGATTAGCCTGCTGGACGTCATGCCAAACCTCATAAACTGGTGGTCCAACTTGTTGCAACACCCGATACGGTCCTTTCCACTGCGCAAGGAGCCCCTTATATAAACTACGTACCGTAAGATGGGGAAAACGGACCAACACCAAATCATCCACTTTGTACTCCATAGGTGGACGATGATGGGAGTTGTAGCACCGTTGTTATCCCACTTGTACGCGGCCTAAGTGTTCGGCAGACTCAGCTCGGACAAGTGGAAGAATGCTCGTCAAATACTAATCTCACGACCTAACATTGGCAGCTCATGGCAATTGCAATGGTAAACCTAGCTCTGTTGGTAATATTAGATCATGACCATATAGGAGTTTATATGGTGAAGCACCAATAGAACTTTGCACCACTGTGACATATGTATACCGAAGAAATGGCAAATAACCATCCCAATCCGAATGCTGAAAGTTCACATACTTCGCAATCATCCCCTTGAACGTCCAAACGAGCCGTTCCACCAGACCGTCTGATTGTGAATGATAAGCACTTGTGAAAGTGTGGCGAATCCCCAACCAAGATGTCAAAATATGAAATGCCTCAGCCATAAATGCGGGACCATTATGCGAAAGAATCCGCTCTAGACAAGAATGCTGGAACACCACTCGATTGAGAAGGAAGTATCCAATAGCAGTTGCAGAGGCACTAGAAAGAGCACCAACTTCCACCCAACGAGTCAAGTAGTCAAAAGCAATAATAACATACTCATTGCCAGCAGTCGACCGTGGAAAAGGTCCCATAAGATCGAATGCCACTAACTCAAACGGACGGGAAACTACAATTAACTCCAACCGTCCTTCCGTAGCCCAAGGGGGAGTATTACGAGCTTGGCACCAAATGCAGCTACGCACATACCGAATAATATCACGTCACATCTCCGGCCAATACAAAGACCTGCGTAGCTTCTCGATTACACGACGATGTCCCATATGCCCACCTAGAACAGGAGAATCATGGTAGGTATGGAAAAACCGTTGAATAAAGACAGAAAGCACCACTAGCCGTAAATGATCATCAAGATCCATCCCTACAAAATAAAGAAGGCTGTCGTCAAGGCGATATTAAGAATGTAAATGCCGGAAAGGTAAGTCATCAGCAAGTGATGCAGGATTCTCAAACCCATCTCGAAGCCTTCGAATCCACGGCTCAATCTTTTGAGCCTCGCGAACCTCATCAAGAGAAGGTAGATCTTGCTCTATGCCTTGTGGACACTAAACATCAAGTACAACAACTGCTGAGGGCACAGAATCCTTGTCTAGAAAATCCACATATGCAAGAGTAACAGGCTCATCAGAAACATGAGAAGAGAGTGGAGAAGGAAGAGGAGCTCGAGAAAGGGCATCAACATTATCCATAGAACTCGTTGGATGATGAACAACATCAAAATCATATATTTGAAGCTTCAAAGCCCATCGAGCAATACGACCAACTAGGTTCTTCCGCTTCAATAATGAAGTAATAACAGCATAGTCACCTTCAAGTAATGTCCGAGAAGCATGTAGATATGCATGAAGTTTCTCAAAACCCCAGACTGCTGCTAAACACTCTTTCTCTGTCGTGGAGTAGTTCATCTCCGCTGGTTGTAATGTACGGCTGATATATGCAATAGGATGATGCTGACCAAGCACACTCAAGCTCTCTTGCATCAACACACCCCCAAGACCAATATTAGAAGCATCCACACACAAAATAAAAGGTTAAGTGTAGTCAAGATATGCCAAAACCGAAGGAGTCGTCAATAGCTCTTTGAGATCCATGAACGCCCACTCACAATCCAGAGACCAAATGAAGATGACTTTGATGACTTCAGCAATGCTTGCAACAGTGTAGTGCGATCAGAAAGATGATCCACAAAACGACCAAGATACTACACCTTGCCCAAGAAGTGCTACACATCATTCATACACTTCGGAGTGGATCAAAACATCATCAATGAAGTCAGCAGCCACCTCTGGCATATTGCAAAGAACTTCGTCCATCATCCACTAGAAGATTGCTAGAGCATTGTTCAAACTAAACAGCATCACTAAGAACTCATACAAACCAAATAGTGTACGAAAAGCAGTCTTAGGAATATCTTCTTTGGCCATTAGTACTTACTAGTACTCAGAAGCAACATCCAGCTTGGTGAAATCTTGATCTCCTTGGGTGACCGACGACGAATAAGAACCTTGATTGGACGAGCATCCCCAGTTGGAATTGGATGACATGTGGCAATCTTGGCCCCAAATGATAGGTCAAATTCAAAGAGATCAGAATACTCCTTCATAAGTCGGTCAACTACTGCAACACAAAGATTGTCAGAGGGATCGGAAAAGGGAAGAGCAGAACAAGATAGAAACACAGGAGGAAATAGTGGGGAAACAAAAGTAATGGAAGCAGAAGTAGAAGTAGAGGGATAAAGAGGTATGGAAGTGAGAGGAATGGATAAAACGTAAGGAAGTATGAGACAAGGGGGAGAAGCCTCAAAGTCACACTTAGCATGATTGCGCTGCAACCAATCCATACCAAAAATGAGGTCAAAAGCTTGACTCGACACCGCAATGAGTACAACTCAAGCTCGAAATCACCCATACGCACAACCAGGTCTGCCTCATCTCATGCACATGTATGTGTATGGCCATTGCCATAAAGAATGAAAACTGGTTTTGCCGCACGACGCAAGTGTAGACGACAATATGTGGCAACAGGTCGAGCAATAGAAGATAAACTCAAATTTGTATCAACCAACATGGAGAGAATAATAGGAGACCTCTTGTTATAAGAATGAGCTTGCAAAGTAAACACTGGATGAACTGGTGCCGAATGAACCCCTTAATTATACTCCCGAAACAAAGATGGAAGGGTCATTAACTTATTCGCGCAAGGTCACTCTGTTACTCGCGCGACTCCTTGTTTCCCGGATGCATCTCGGTGTCCAAACCTTCCACTACAGCAGCACATCCGGGATGTTGTTAATGCCAAGGTCTTCACCCAGAAAATGGAGGTTGCCAATCTAGAAAATGCCGACAACACCGATAAGTATGACCAACTTCATCACATGCCTAACAGCGAACATCACGGCCATGACTACATCCTCGCCCTTGACCTTGGACTCGAGCAGCAACAGCATCAACCTCTATTGGAACAGGACCATCACCCATAGGAAGTGGAGCTGAAGGACGTGCAGTGAGAAGTGGAAGAGGCGACGTCTCATAACGTTGTGCCAAGTGAAGAGCATTGTCAAGGGTGGCAGGAGCAAGTGCATGCACAAGTCTGACAAGATCTTGACGAAGTGCTGGCTACAACATTCCTAGCTTGATCCGCTTCGATATATTTGGCTCCGCACGAAGCAAAAGACATCAGAAATGAACACCAAATTGCATCACTAACTCAGATGGCCCTTGGCAAAGACGATGCAATTGTTGGAAAGCATCATCACAGTCATCGGCATGTTCGAAGGCGCGTTTGAAGACATCCGGAAGAACACTCCAATCCCTGCGAGTGGCTGCTCCCAAACTGTTGTACCACTACAACGCCATCCCTTGGAGACACGTGGGAAACTCACGCAAACGTCAAGCATCATCCCAAGAATGATATGTGGCAATCATTGTAAAGTGATCGAACCAATGGTACACATTTTCCCCAGGATTCCCGCGAAAGAACTCCGGCCGAACGCGAGGATTGGCACCAAGAGCAGGAGGAGTTGTACCATGTGCCGTGAATGCCACCATCAACTGAGTTTGGTTGTTCAATTGCAATCGCATAGCATCAAGCAATTGTACCAACTACTGCTCCAGAGTCAAAGGAGGAGATTGCTGATCTGCCATAAAGATGAATGAAAAGGAAAGAGCAAAATAAGAGAAATGACAAAATGCTAGAAGGAAATGGTAGATCTAGACAATGCAAAAAGCTAGATCTAAACCAAAATTCTGAAAGGAAGGAACAAAAGAAAGGAAATGGAAAAAACTAGATATAGACAATGCAAAAATTAGATCTAAACTGAAATCCCAAATCCAAGCACTCCCCAGAGACAATCAAAGATGCCCCTCATCTCCACCAATGTGAGTGCATGGAGTATGGAAAGGGAATACAAAAATGTGCATATCAATTAGCCTAGCTTATATATAGGAGCGAGTGGTCCAGATTGAAACCAATTCGACAGCTACCAAAATCCCACTATGCTAATATTAGTATACGGCATCGTAGTTATACACTTGGCCCTCACAACATATATATAAAAAGAAAATTAAAATTTAATCAGGATTTTAGTTAAACACAAAGATTAACCAATCAAGCTAAGATATTCACTAGTTGAAGGTAGCTTTCAAAGTAAAATAAAAGTAGAATTTAAAATCTAATGTGGCCTTCTAACAACTCAAAAATAAAACAAAATATTTAGAAGATCACTCTGGGTTTGAAAAAAGTGTTATTAGTCTAGCAACTTATTAGTTTTACCTACAAAATATAGTGTAGGATATTTATTATATAAGGGTGTTCTTTTACCTTATATTAATATGTGAGTATGGAAAACAAAAAAATTCTATATTTAATTCTATTACTTGCAGTCATTCTAAATAATGAGAATTTTTGTGATGCCACTACACTGATTCAAGTGGAAGGCTATACTTATTGTACTAGTTGTGGTTTAGTTTCTCAGAATGGGATCTTGGGTAAGAAAAATTCATCTCATCTTCTAAATTCTTCTAATCTTGTTAAATTTTGTAGGTGCCAAGGTAAATCTAGTTTGTCCAGGAGACAGTGGTTTATCATTTACAAATCTTAGAGGGTATTTTGATATCCTTAAATTAATCAAGACTGGAACAAATATTGGGAGTTGCAAAGTGAGTGTGGATGGGAGTAGAGCACCCCTACTCCCCTGGGGCTGTACATTTTTAACAAACATAAATGGGGGTTCAATTGGTCAATCTTTAAGCACATGTATCAACAATGGAAACAACAAATTCACTTGTGGGCCTTATTATTTTACTCCAAATGCTTGTCTGCCTCCACCACCACTACTACCACCCCTTAGAACACCACCACCACCACCACAAAGAACACCTCCTCCAACACCAACACCACTATCACCTCCAATTTCACCAGCACTACCACCTAGAACACCACCACCATCACCACCACCACCACCTTTATCACCTCCAATTTCACCAGCACTGCCACCTACACCACCACCACCACCACCTTTATCACCTCCAATTTCACCAGCACTGCCACCTAGAACACCACCACCACCAAAAACACCTCCTCCACCAATTACACCAGCACCATTATCACCTCCAATTTCACCAGCACTACCACCTAGAACACCACCACCACCACCGCCACCTTTATCACCTCCAATTTCACCAGCACTGCCACCTAGAACACCACCACCACCACCACCTTTATCACCTCCAATTTCACCAGCACTACCACCTAGAACACCACCACCACCATCACCACCACCTTTATCACCTCCAATTTCACCAGCACTGCCACCTAGAACACCACCACCACCACCTTTATCACCTCCAATTTCACCAGCACTGCCACCTAAAACACCACCACCACCAAAAACACCTCCTCCACCAATTACACCAGCACCATTATCACCTCCAATTTCACCAGCACTACCACCTAGAACACCACCACCACCACCACCTTTATCACCTCTTATTTCACCAGCACTACCCCCTAAAACACCACCACCACC